GTCGTGTAGCATGGGAATTCTGAAGCCGAAAGCCGCAGCCGAATGCAATAATCAGCGGCTTATCTCGCGATACTACGAAAATATCGCGATATATGGAGGATACGTACGGTTTATACCAACCCGTCTCGTGCGGCGCCACCGAATAAAGGCAGGTGGAACATCTCTGGTCTCTGAAGCGAAGGGAAGAGTCCTCACTATCCCAACCCCCTCTCTGTATCTCTCTCTATAGTCCTCCTCCGATCGAATCTCCGATCGCCGTCGTTTTCTCCGGAACTGCATCGATATCGGGAAAAATGGTGAGATCTTAAGCTACTTTTGTCAGTATCTTCGGCGATCGTTGATCTGTTGAATTTTCGTTTATTTTCTTAGGAATCCGTTTTTACACCGGGAAATTTAGTAGACAATGATGAATACTATGGAATCTTATTGTTTTTCTGTGATTTAGTTCTTCTCGATTAGACTATTTTGCTTGGATTTGGTTCTGTCTGGTGTTTGATCCGCTTGCGGAAGCTGTTTTTCGGCGGATTTTCGAACATGTCACGATTAGGGAAACATTAACTCGTTTGTGAATCGTTATAATCGACTGCGACGGATCAAAGCGGAGGGAATTGAATCACTTGTCTCTGAGTTTTCATTCTTCTCCGGTGTTCATTTTGTTGTTAATCGAGATCCGAGTTGTGTCCGTTCTACCGAGGAAGCTGAATATTGCCTGGATTTTAGATGTCATTGTGAATTGTCTCTCCGTTGATGTCTTTCTCTGTTGTAGAGATCTGATTTGTCTTCCCTTTTGTTGTACAGACTTGTTATTGCTATCCAAGATAAACGATCTAGTTTTTGTTTTCACTCTCTTATATTTCCATTGTTCCTTTTTCACCTCGAATTGGGCTCGATCTGGTTGTTTTGTTTGTCTTCTTGATGCATTTTCCGTTTGCTTTGCAATATCTGTCTACCATGGTAAGAGGTTCAAATGCATAAGAATATATGCTCTGTATTGTCTGCCTCCTAGAATCCGATGACACCATGGATAATTCCGGTTCTGTGTTAAATCTATGAAACGTGTAATAAAGGTTGACTACTCGATGTTGTCTTAAAAAGAATTTTGACCAGAAACATAGTCTTAGGGGATCAGGGTTAAGCCATTGAGCTGATGAGAAACAGTCTTTTCATTCAGCTAACATGGATTCCCTAGAGTGAAATAGCTTTATTTTCCTTATCCTTTTTTTTTGGTTTACTATTTTAAGATTTCTTCCTGGTAATATGTAATCGTTGGTCAACATGTTCTGTCTGGGCCTGATACCGGTGTTAATTGGTCAACTGTGGTATCCCTCTTGTCTAAATTCTATACTCCACTCCATTGATTGTTTCATCTGGTTGACGTTGGAAAACTTGGGTCTGCCATAGGCAATTTGTAAAGTCTAGACACTAAGACGCACTGACACGAAAGAAAGTAATTTGTGTAAACGCTAAGGGTATTGGACAAGGAAAGAGATGAAGAACATGGAAGTGATATTGTCTGTATCTTATATATATGTGTGATGTTCATTGGTTTCTAGGCCAACGCTGTGTCTGGTATGGCTGTGCATGACGAATGCAAGCTAAAGTTTCTGGAGTTGAAGGCAAAGCGGACTTACCGCTTCATTGTCTTCAAGATCGAGGAGAAGCAGAAGCAAGTCATCGTTGAGAAGCTCGGTGAGCCATCCCAAAGCTATGAGGATTTCACCGCCAGCCTCCCTGCCGATGAATGCAGATACGCTGTCTATGATTTTGATTTCGTCACAGCCGAGAACTGCCAAAAGAGCAGGATCTTTTTCATCGCATGGTAACCTCGACCTTCTTTTCTAAATTCTTCTATACCTTGACCCTAAAAAGAGCTAAACAGAAGATAATATAAATGTTATTACACTTGAATTTTTTACTCGACATGGTAACTTAAGGTAACGTCTAGTAAGGTTATAACGACATGTTGCGGTTTGTGAAAGGTCACCGGACACGTCGAGGGTGAGGAGCAAGATGATATACGCGAGCTCGAAAGACAGGTTCAAGAGAGAACTTGACGGAATTCAAGTGGAATTGCAAGCCACCGATCCTACCGAGATGGGCCTCGACGTGATCCGTAGCCGTGCCAATTGAAAATCCCCGAAACCCTAAACCATTTTCTATGTTATGTTCTTAAAGAGCGGGTATTATTTCTCCTCTGGTAGAATTGTTACGACTAAGCTCCGCTCTTCACTACAATATTTACCTTATGGTTATTATACATCTATCCTAGAGTTGATATTCTCTACCAATATCTTGGAACTTTGTTACTATCCATAATTCCATATGTGCTCTCTTTACATTATATCATTATTATGTTCATGTGGTTCCTATCCGAGTGCTTGGTTTTGAGTCTCATCTTTTTATAATTAAATTTGATATTTATTTGCTTGAACCCCTTATAAGCATGTATATACAGATGTGTATACGCATGTATATAAGTATACATATCTATGTGTGAGCATGGAACATCTTATTTGGGGTTGGTTCTCAGATTATTTTTAAATGTTAAAATAATCTTTTGTACGGATAAGTAACGAAACCCTCTTACTCGGTCGCAAGGTTTGGTCGAGAATTCAAAAGCCCACCCACCCAAATCCTTCCCTTCGTCCCCTATCTCCTGAAATTCCATGTTCATTCTTCTGCTTCACTGAGAGACATGGCGTTCTCTTCTTGCCTGAAGCTCTATCCGTTTTCTCTCCCCCGAACTCCAACCCTAATCTCTTCCCCTCCCAGATTCACCGCCGTATGCTTCGCCTCCTCGCACTCAGCAGCTCTCTCGCCGGACTTCACTCCGCTGCAGCTCCTCGACTCCCTCCGCCGTCAACCCGACGAGTCCGCCGCTCTCCGCCTCTTCGATTGGGCTTCCAAGCAGCCCAATTTCGCCCCTGACACTTCCGTCTACGAAGAGATCCTCCTCCAGCTCGGCCGATCCGGTTCCTTCGATTCCATGAAGAAGATTCTGGAGGACATGAGGGACTCCGGCTGTGAGATGAGTAACTCCTCTTTCTTGATTTTGATCGAGAGTTTTGCTCGGTTCGACCTGCACGATGAGATTCTGGGCGTCGTCGATTGGATGAAACACGGGTTCGGGTTAAAACCCGATACCCATTTCTATAACCGACTCCTGAATCTTCTTGTCGATGCGAATAAGCTGAAACTCGTTGAAATCGCTCACGAGCAAATGGGTTTGTGGGGAATAAAGCCGGACGTTTCGACGTTCAATGTTCTGATCAAGGCTTTGTGCAGTGCTCATCAGCTCAGACCTGCCATTTTGATGGCGGAGGAGATGCCGAGCTATGGTCTGAAACCTGACGAGAAGACGTTCACGACGATTATGCAGGGCTATATCGAAGAAGGTGATCTGAATGGTGCTATGAGAATTAGAGAGCAGATGGTGGAGTTTGGATGTTCATGGTCTAACGTGAGCGTTAATGTTCTTGTTCATGGGTTCTGCAAGGAAGGGAGAGTGGAAGAAGCATTGAATTTTATAGAGGAGATGGCCAATGAAGGGTTTTTCCCAGATCAGTACACGTTCAATACACTGGTGAATGGTCTGTGTAAAGCAGGACATGTTAAGCATGCCATGGAGATCATGGATGTGATGCTTCAAGAAGGGTTCGATCCGGACGTCTTCACTTACAACTCCGTGATCTCGGGATTGTGCAAGACGGGCGAGGCAAAAGAAGCGGTGGAGATTCTCGACCAGATGATCACTAGGGATTGTTCCCCGAACACGGTCACTTACAACACTTTGATCAGCACTTTGTGCAAGGAGAATCAGATTGAGGAAGCCACCGAACTTGCTCGTGTTCTCACCAGCAAAGGGATCCTGCCCGATGTCTGCACGTTCAATTCTCTCATCCAAGGTTTATGTCTGACCAGGAACCACAGTTTGGCGATGGAGCTTTTCGACGAGATGAAGAACAACGGCTGTGAGCCTGATGAGTTCACGTACAATATGCTGATCGATAGCTTATGCACCAAGGGGAAACTAGACAAGGCCCTCGACATGCTTAAACAGATGGAATCCACCGGTTGTTCTCGTAGTGTGATAACTTACAACACTTTGATCGACGGGTTTTGCAAAGCCAAGAAGGTCCGGGAGGCCGAGGAGATTTTCGACGAGATGGAGCTACAAGGAGTGTCTAGAAATTCGGTAACATACAACACGCTCATCGACGGTCTGTGTAAGAACAGACGAGTGGAAGATGCGGCTCAGCTCATGGACCAGATGATAATGGAAGGGTTGAAACCGGACAAGTTCACGTACAATTCCCTTCTCACGCATTTCTGCAGAGTCGGCGACATAAAGAAGGCTGCGGATATCGTTCAGACAATGACCTCGGACGGGTGTGAACCCGACATTGTGACGTACGGAACACTGATCGGAGGACTGTGTAAGGCCGGGAGAGTGGATGTTGCGAGTAAGCTTCTGAGGTCGATTCAGATGAAAGGTATGATCTTGACGCCTCATGCTTATAACCCAGTGATCCAAGGGCTGTTCAGAAAGAGAAGAACGGATGAAGCCATGAATCTGTTCAGAGAAATGGTGGAAAATGGCGGGAACCCAGATGCGGTTTCTTACAGAATCGTGTTCCGAGGTCTCTGCAATGGAGGCGGGCCCATCGGAGAAGCTGTGGACTTTCTCGTTGAACTGATGGAGAAAGGGTTTGTGCCAGAATTCTCGTCTATGTACATGTTGTCGGAAGGTCTTCTGTCTCTGTCAATGGAGGATAAGCTGGTGAAGCTCCTCAACATGGTGATGCAGAAAGCGAAATTCTCGGAGAACGAGGCTTCGATGGTGAAGGGTTTGCTTAAAATCAGGAAATTTCAGGATGCTTTGGCCACTCTCGGCGGCGTCTTGGAAACCCGGCGGCCGGAGAGAACTTTCAGGTCAAGGTGAAATCTCATGTAGTTGCTTATCAGAACCTTATTAAAATGTTGTAACAAAAATGCCGTTATTGTGAACCTTTCCTGCGAAACACGTCAGAGAATCTTCAGTTCGGTCTGCATCCGGATACCGGATAGGTCAAGAAGAGCTACGGAGGAGGGACGGTGACATGCCCATTGATAGTGATGGTGGTAATGGAATGGTGGTTTGGTCTCCATGAAAATGAAGGAAGAGAAAATAATTGCGAAAGAAAAACATGAAAAAGATGAAAGATGATGAAAGAAAATGAGATTAAAAAAAATATAGACTGCAAATGTGTAGTTTTGTTTTGAAAGAATTTGTAAATAACCTTTTTGAAAATATAGTCTTATTTAGACTGTCTTGAATATCTTACTCTTGTTTTATTTAAAAATTTAATATCTTTATTTATGTGAAGAAGACTTGAACAACTATATATGTTGTGTGTGTGATTTGGTAATACGTTATTTTGATTGGTATGATATCTTAATGTGGTTAACCTATCATATGCGTTTTCTTTGTGTTTCATACATACATACATACATTGTTTCATACATACATACATACATACATACATACATACATACATACATACATACATACATACATACACACACACACACACAAATAGATGATCAAGTACATTGATGGCATGCATGCATAACAAATTGATGATAGAAGTACACATCAATGTACTAAAACTAAAACATTCCCAAATATTGCAGTGTGATTGATCCAAAGCCCTTCCTTCATGTGACAGATTTTACTTAACACAGAGAAAACAAACCCAAAACCGAAAGGGATAAAAAGATGATAACAAATAGAAAAGAAGAATGTTTGGTCTGTCATTACAGATCAAAAGACTAATCGAATTCTCTCTTAGAAAAGCAAAAAGTAGCCCATGAATAATCAAATCTTGTACAGATTTATGTCTCAAACTCCTTACACAGGTTTGCAATTGTAATAAAAAGGGACAAAAACCCAAGTGAAGATAGATAGGACATGAAGAACTAATGGAAAACAACCACTGACCTTGACCAAATTGGTTGAGATTATCTCTCTCTCTCTTACGAGAAGCATGCCATTTCCTGACCAGTATTCTGAAACACCTGCCCAATTGACGGGTATAGTTTTATTTCACAACATATCGAGATGGGACGGTGGTCAGTATGAGGGAAAAAAAGATATAGAAACATGAACATTGTCTACATGGGGGACATGCCTGACATAAGAGAGAAGGTTTTACCGACCTAGAGGAAGCCTCCACCAGTCCAAGCAGTGTCCGATTTCCCGTTGTGACCTACAGATTTCTTATCGGGTGCACTCTGGTAGAACCCATCATCTTTCGCATCGTGATCTTCCCAACCTGCCCACCCGTCCTCATCGTTAGAACCCGACACCTTCTTCTGAGCTGCTTCCTTCTTATTATAATTATCACTCTCTCCCCAGTCATCCCAAGAATTAGAGTTATTTGATTTGTTATAGTAACCACTTGATGATGAATTTGCTGCTTTGTTTCCATGGCCAAAGTCTTGGTAGTACATGTTCCTCTCGGTTTCGTTAGGCTGGAAACCATCCGCCTTAAAGCTCGTTCCTTCTTTAGTGAACTCCTCCACTTTCTGTGAGGCCATTGCCATCACTCCTTTCATGATCCCCCACGTCCTCTGTCCAATCTCTGTTGTCTTTGTCGCGACGACATTAACAGTTTCACTGACCTTGTGATCGTAGCCGCCGTCTTTCACCTGCAACAAATGGGTTTCTTTATTGTCGCGGAAAATGATGCATATAGAATGCAACTAGGAATATACTGGATAAAGGGTCAAGCTTAGTTTGATGTAAGGTGATGCAGGGGCTTAAACACACAAAAAATCGCCTCTACTATAAACAACCGATGCAAATAAGGACGATTATGCGGTGAACAGGATACATAACAATGTAGGCAGTAAGAGATAACACAACAACATAAACAATGGGCTACCAAACAAAATACGAACATAACCAGACACCATGCATCAAGTTGGGATTCCAACGCTAATCTACATAGACATGAAATAAGGAGCGATAGCATGATGAACACATTGGACAAGAGAAGGATTATGCTCAATCATTCCAGAAGAAACCAGTACTGGAACCAACAAACTAAGGCCAATCAGGATATTTGCCAAAAATTCCATCAAATGTAGCTCACGAAACTCAATAGATTACAATGACCAACAAGGAATTGCATCACTGGGAATCAACCACAACATAGTACAGAACCATAAAATGTTGTGTAATGTACCTTGGATGTTTCCTACACGGACAACATTCGCAGCTGAATGAGCTGCAGATGCAGCGACCAGAGACAATCTTCCGAAACCCTATATTTATATGAATGGATGAACAATCGAATCAGAGAAAACTGGGAATCCGCTAGCACCTCATATCATCATCGAAATCAACCACAAAAAGCATCCAAAATCACCTGAGACATGACAGAGAAGACATCGCCCTGTTGATTGTTGTTCCTCGGTGCCGGGGCAGGGCTGGATCCGAACCCGACATACTTGCCTCCTTGCGAAGGAGGAAGACCTTCAGGCCTCGACTCGTTCTCCGCCATCTTCCTCGCGAAGAAGTTCTCCTTGCTCGCCGCCGAAGCCTCCAGCTCCGACCGCGTGTAGATATCCTCCGATGACCTCGACTTCACCGGCGCTCCCCCGCTACCGCGGTTCCCCGATGCCCTAAAATCACTCGCCGATTGATTCCGCCGCATGTCCGAGGAGGATCTGAACGAATCGTCGTTATCCCAACTGTCCCATCCACCCCCGCTTCCATAACCACCGTCCCGACCACTCTGCGCCAATGGCGGCTTCTTGTTCATCCCAACACCTCCGCCACCGCCGATTGTCTCCTTGACAACCGGCGGATCCCGCCACGGTCTGCCCTCGGCGAGAGCCTGGATCCGGTCGCGATACACCGATGCGGCGTTGGAATTGTACTTGGCGACGATGTCGGTCTCCTTAGGGATCCCGTACTGCGCGAGGAAATTGTTGAGGCGCTCGTTGCCTCCTGCCTCCATCTTCTTGATCTGAATCTCCGACCACGAATCCATGGTGACAGATCGGACAAAGGAGATGTGAACGCCCAAGCCGCGATGCTTACCGGAGCATTCCAAGCACATGAAGATTCCGTACGAAACCGATGCCCATTGCGGATTCTTCTGGGAGCAATCGACGCATACCTTGTTCTCCGGCTGAGATTGAAGCGCGCGCAATCGCCTAGCCGCCGCCATGACTTGCCGGAGCTCCGATCACCGACGAATCAGATCTGATCCAGATGGAGATCTGTTATTCTTCGCCTTGCGTTTTTTTTTCGCTCGATAGTTGTTTCTCGTGCCTCTTTCCTCTAATAAAAATGTAACTTCGCGTTTTCTCGTACGTGTTTTTCGGCACGTGCCAATTGGGGAAATTTTCACACTACGAGTATAATTATAATTTCATACTATTTGATATTATTTATATATTTGTTGCCATCATCTTCCTTTTATTCTTATTCTTATCGGCAGTTTCGTTTTTGTATTTCTATTGGACTCTTATTCAAAAGTGGAATTATACAAATATAATGACTTGTTTAGAAAAAAATATATATATATATATGATTTTGGAGAGAAGATTCATTATAAAATATGTACCTTATATTATATCAAGCTATTTAAAGAAACCATGGCTTTAAATACGTAGATTTAACAACTATTGCTTTTGCTTCCCACAAAACTTTGTCGGTGTCGTCGTCATTTGATCATGTTTTATATACTTGAAAATAAACAAAAAATATATATGAAAAATATGTTAAAAAATAGTAATCGCGCCAATTTTGTCATATAATGTTTTGTCTATCATTACACGCACTTTTAAACTGTCTTCATATTATCAAATCGTATGTCTGTATTATTTTAAAACAAATTAACAGGAAAAAATATTAAAAAACAATAAAAATATTAATAATTGCGTCAATTTTATTATACGGTGTTTTGACTATCAATAGATTTTGAAGTGTTTTCACGGCTAATTTCATATTCATCAGCCAAATTATGTCGCTGAATAATGAGGATGGACGAGACGAGATGATGGTTAGCCGAGACGAGAAGATCGCCGACAGGACCTAACTCGGGATGGTCGGCCACTCGGTCTGCCAACTCGGCCACCGTGGTCGACGGAACCCTCCCTCTCCCGACCACTACGAGTTCATATTCACCGCTTCTTCCTATTGATAGAGTTTCTTCAACTACGTTCTTCTTTGGTTCTATCTCTTTGTATTCTACCGTTTCTCCCCATTTGCTCTTGAAGCTCTCCAATGTCCCTTCGTCTAATTCCTATACGAAATATTATTAGTCAATCCATTCTTTTATTATAAATTTATAATGATAAATAATATTATGGATGAAAATGCGTACCTTTTCTTTTTCCCGGTCCACGCTGGCCGTCGACAAGGCGTAACCCTTGTCCTTGTTTTTTGACGGAGCGGACCGTAACTTAACGGCGTTACCATTCAACCCATCTCTCTCCAAATCCTCCCGCCGAGCTCCAAGGCCTCACGGTCATCGGGCCCACCGAAGAACAAAACGCAAACCCTTTGGGCCACGTGGCGCCCATCTGGACTTTCTGCTTGGGCTTCGATGGGCTCAAATCCACGGTCCACGAGCACTGCCACCGAACACGGCGCGTGATTCAACGTCCTCTGGTTCACCACGCGCCAAGCATGGCCCACGTTCTCCACAACGCCGTCACCGCTACCGTTACCGTTACCGCCGCCGGCACTGCTCCAACGCTTGTGGAATGGTAAGATGACCATCGTGACCCTCTTGGTCTCCGCCACGTGGCAGATATCTTCGTGCATCGTGTGTAAAGGGGAAATCGCGGTTACGGGCCGGACCGCGACTCGGCCCAGTTGTCGGTATGTTTCGAAGGCTCCGACGACGTTGTCGTGCCACTCGCCGTTACGGTAACGGTTTACGAACGGAAGTCCGTTACGACGGGCTCTTTGGACCGTTACGATGGAGGACGACCGTTCCGTTAGTTCCATCATGCGCATTACGAAGAGCTTCAGCTGCAACCCAAATAATAATAATAATAATTAAATATCTCGAGACGTTCAAATTGTAATTTTTGTTATTAACTGCGAAAAGCGGGAAACATATAAGCTTGTTGAGACTTTGTTATTTTGCATTTGACATATATGTGATAATGAAATATTATCCATATTATTCTAACAATTTTTTTATAATAAAATTAATTGGAACTCAATGATATAAGTATTTTAAAAAATCGGATTAAATATAAAAATAAATTTAAAATATGAATAAAACAAGTTTAAATAAAATTGGGACCTTGGTGGTTCGGATGGACTCGATGAGGGAGATGAGGGAGGAGACGTTGGCCGAACCGTGGAGGCAGGCGAGAACGCGAAGCTCCGACCCGTCGGCCGCCGAGAAATCTCCGAGTCTCCGGTGGGTATGCGCGTGATTCCCACGCGCCGGCTTGTAAATGGCCATCACGCACGGCGTCGTTATGAATGTCGTGAACAGTGCCATGAGCACTAGAATCGCGAATGTCTCGTCGTTAAGTACCTGTAATAATAATAATACCCTCCAAACAAAATTATTTAGAAAAGTAATTATTTATTGAAAAAATAATTACGATATATATTTGTTTTCTTGATATTGTTCTTGCATAATTAAATATATGTACTAAAAAACAGTTCACATGTTTTTTACGTTGTATGTAATGTAAGAGCCGAAAGTAGGACATCATTATAAGCTATACAACATGTGCTCAGTTTTATTTAATAATAATCTATATTGACGTACGAGACCAATTCCGAATTATTTTATTGATTTATCTAACGTTACTATATATGTTTATTAATTGAATAGACCAACTCCAAAAAAATAATAAAAGAAATTAAGTAGCGTTTGAAACTAAAAAAGGTAAATACTTACAAAAATAATTAAAAAGGCTGACCTTTTTCTCCTTGCCAATGTTGAGTACGATGAGCTCCACCAGCCCTTTCGTGTTCATCAAGAAACCCAGCGCTAGAGCCTCCCTCGCCGGAACCCTAACCGCAAACGCAACCGCAAACGTGCCGGCGATCTTTCCGATGCAAGCGACCGCGATTACAATGGCCAACAATCCCCAAGACTCGCTGCCGCTGATCTTGGAGACGTCCGTTTTCAAACCGCTGGACGCGAAATAGAGCGGCAGGAGCAAACCCGACACGAAGTCCTCGATCCGTTCGATCAAACGCTCCGCAAGCTCACCGTCTTTAGGAATGGTGAGGCCGAAGACGAAGGCTCCGAAAATGGAGTGGATGCCGATGAGATCGGTGATGAAGCCGGAGATCATAACGCCGGCGAGGGTCATGCATACGTAGGGTTCGTGTACGACGTCGTTTCCCGGGGAACAGCGTTTTGAAACGCGTTTCATGATTGGTTGGACCACTACCATCATGAAGATGACGAAAGCTGCACCTGAGAGGAGTACCCACAAGGACACCTGTTCGAAATAATTGGTTTATTAATTTAATTAACTAATGGTTTAAATATAATTAAACATGTATATACTTTGGCTAAATTAACAAATAATAATTTACATACTTGTGGGTTCTTTACTTTTTTCATGTACTAATGGGTATATACTGTCTTAATTATCAAATAAATACATACGAAATATATATATATATATATATATATATATATAGAATCTCATTTTGTATACAACTTTATCAAAATGGCGATGTAATGTTGTAAATAACAAGACCAAAACGAATATGAATTTCAGCCTTGAAAATTGAAATTTGGGAAATTATGAGCTGATTTAATTTTTGGGTAACATATATACATATAAATATGTGTGTATATATCACAAATGTAAAAAAAAAAAAAAAAGGGGAAAGCCAACAGTACCAATGGGTTCTTGCGGTGGCTCCCTCCGCCATCTCCGGCAAGAGCGACGGCGAGGGCGAGAAGAATCCAAGCGGCGACGTCGTTGAACGCGGCGGCGGCCATGGCCGTCTCTCCGACTCGAGTCATCAAGAGCTTGAGCTCCGCTAAGATACGTGCGAGCACAGGGAAAGCTGTAATAGACAAGGCGACCCCCATGAAAACCAGGAACTCTCCATAACCCGGTTTTCCGGTGTCTTCGTAAGCTGTTTTCCGGAGGAGGAAGGCCACACCTACTCCGCCGGCGAACGGGAGTGTGATTCCGGCGACGGCGATTCCGAATGCACGTTTTCCGCTTCTTCGGATCGAGGAGAGGTCGAGTTCGAGTCCGACGAGGAAGAGGAAGAACAAAAGGCCGATACTTGCCACGGACTCGAGTATGGGCATACTCCACGACGGGAATATACGGTGTATATACGCCGTATTTCTGCCGAGAGCCGACGGTCCAAGCAAAATACCTCCCTGAAAAGCCCATAATAACAGATTCATACATGTGCCACGTAACACACGGGCCAAAAACAACGGTTCTTGACGTTGGTGGCATAATCGTAAATAGCTGCGGAACAGGGAGTGGCAAAACCGTAAATCAAACGATGACGTACGACGATCTCGGCGATGACTTTGGGTTGACGGAGGGGTCTGAAGAGGAGGGCGAGGGAGCGGCTAACGGCGATGATTAACGCCGTCTGGACGATGAGTAACGGGAACGCGAAGTTCAACGGGTTGTCGCCTTGCCACGCTCCGTTTGACGACGCCTTAACGGCGGTTATGTTGAAGGGCATTTCCGGAACTTTTGTTTTTTCCCCGCAATGTTATATATAAACTTATAATATATGAATGTGCATGTGAATCGAAGTGTGAAGTAATTTATAGGGAAAATTTTTTGTTTGAAGATTAAAAAAAGTTGAGGAAAAAAGTCATATGATGTTGCTTTATCAGATTGGGTGTCCCTCTGTCTCACGTGTTAGTCTTAAATTTCTACGATTATCCTGCAAGAGTAAATGGACAAACACAACCATAATAATAATAATAATAATAATAATAATAATAATAATAATAATAATAATAATAATAATAATAATAATAATAATAATAATATATACTTCCTATTTTATGAGGTATACAGATTTTAAAAAAAACTATTTACTAAGTACTGCATTGAAAATGTAAAATCAAATCGAATTGAATATAAGAAAAAGTAATGAAACCCGGTATCTTTAAGAAGAATTCTGATACTGTTAAATTTGATAGATTTTAATAGAATTGAATTAGAAATCTGTAAGAATGGTGTATTGATTTATAAAAAAATAAGTAGTTATATAATTATTAAACCAAACCATATTAAACGAACCGTATCTTGTAATAACTCCTGTGGGTTATTCTCGTTCATTATCTTATGATAATAATTATACAAAACATTAATATTTGGCAAGGTGGCATTGTAGATTATATAGCTAACTTCATATCCTCACCAATGGGAAATAAATGAATAATTGACGGTCAAAGCTTGAACGAGAAGCGGAGATCACGTGATGCACACGTGGCGTGAGTGGACATAATCTTACACTGAGGTGACACGTGTCCCATCTAGTTGGACAAAATTATGAGAGGGGGAAATTATTGGAAATTAAAGTGAGAGAGAACCGGAGAAAAAAATAAGTGATGGATAAAATAGGGGTGGATGCGGATCGGATATCCAGAATTTTTTAGATATCCGTATCTGTATCCGATCCGTACAAATATTCGATTTTGTTATCTGTATCCGATCCGTAATTTTTATATATCTGCAACTTCAGATATTCGTTAAAATCACGGTTATTTGTGGATATCCATATCCGATCTAAAATATTATTAAATTTTAAATTTAAATTAAATAACAAATTCAAATGTAAATAAAATATATAAGATATTTAAGATAAATAATATTCACAAATTTAAAATTTATAATTTAAACATTCCAAACCAACTCAAATACAAATACAATTATAATTTATCACATACAAGTATCAAAATTCAAAATATTAAACATAATAAATCTTAATATTCAAAAATTAAAATTATAAACCTCAATATATATAAATTTGTTTTGAATCACCCTAAAAAAAATATGTAAATATTAAGCATTTTAAATCTTTATACCAAATTATTCTTATATTTAATAATATTATTACAAAATACGGATCGGATCGAATATGTCGGATAATTCAATTTTAATATCCGTATCCGAAATAAAGACAAAGGATATGTCAGTGACCTAGCACGACAAAGCACTCTCCGAGGGCATGGAATGTCTAATTTTTCGGCAAATATTTCCAAATAAATATCCGTATCCGATTCGTAAACTCTAGATATCCGAATTTTCGGTTCGGATACGAATCGAATAACGGATCGATTCGGATTTTTCGGATATTTTGTCCACTCCTAGTCAAAAGTTTATCTAGTCGTATAAAACAGGAAAATTCTTGTGATCTTTTTATGGAATTGAGAGTTGTGTGTAGAAATATAAATCAAGATGAATGATATGTATTACTGTAGAAATAAAAAATAAAAAAAATAGAAAACACATACAAAGTTTAATTTTAAAATTGTCCAATTAAAATGTTAACTTTTATTTTTTTAAAATGTATAAAATTATTAATTTTCCCAATAATATGCAGTTAGAATCGTTAATAAACCTCAATATTCATAAAAACATAAAAAAAAAAGGTAATCGCATACAAATATCCGAACTTTTATAAAAATCCCAAATAAATACCCTAACTATAAAATTGTCATATAAATACCTGAACTTTTCAAAACTTCCATATAAATACCCAAACTTTTAAATTTTTTTCAAATCAAACAAACGCAACTGCTGACTCAACAAAAAGCTGTTGACTCAGCAAAAAAACTGTTGACTCAGCAAAAAACTACTGACTCAGCATTCAAAAATATTATTAAATATCCAAATATTCATCTACGTGTATTTAAATTAATATATATATATATATATATATAAATTCACATATATATATATATATATATATTAAAAATAAAATTATTTATAATTAATAAAATATATATACACATAACTACAATATATATATATATAAGTTTTGAAAAGTTCAGGTATTTATATGAAAATTTTATAGTTCGGATATTTATTTGGGATTTTTGTAAAAGTTTGGATATTTTTATGTGATTACCCCTAAAAAAAATTATAAGTTATTAATTTATCTTTTTTCGATATAATCTAAATATATTTACAATATTAAGTATTATTATTATGAAAATATATTTAATTACAGCTGAAATGCGTATAATTATTTTATGCATTGGCAAGAATTTTTTTAAATTTATAAATAATTAAAGGTTTAATTGAATGTTTTTGTTTGATTTTAATAAACTTATACAATTTTAAAAGTAAACAACATGGTTTTTTTAGGTGGCGAATACAAAAATTTTATTATTTTAATTAAAAATCAAGAAAACTATTTGATTGGTAGAGAAACTTGGATAGTTAGATTCTTATTATCTTATCTTTTTCAATAGTTCAAGCATTTTTATTCGTCAATATCATTTTTTTTCTAAACAAATATGTTAATTGAATAATGTTAGAATAATCTAGTAACACAAATTAAGAATGATTTGTTCCACTACTAGACAGTAGACACTAGTGGCTTTCCCTATATTATATTGGGGCACAATGTACAAATGGGTCCACGTAAATTGCTTATGATTTCGAAAAATAATATGATTATTACAAAATTATAATTTAATAAATATCGCGTGTATGTATGTGTGTGTATGTATATATTGTTGGTATTCGTATATATCCATCTAAATATATGTAGCAATTAGGTGTTTAAGTCATGTATTCACTCTTTTTATTCACCTCATCTCTTTAATATCATATGCTCAAACATGACATTAACAAATTCGAGTGTGTGTTTTAATGGATATATTTTTATTAATAAAGCTAATTTTTTTCTTTCTTTTTTTTCCAAGATGGGAAGTCAAAACTTTTTCAGGGTTAAAATAAATGGGCCAAAATATCCAATTCTAAAACCCAATGGACTTATAATTGGGCTTGACGAAAATGGAAATACATAGACCCCCCAAATGCTATTGCTATCACTGACCTTCGTTTAATTTTTTTTTTTTTTTTTGGGTTCGAAAACAAATCTTTTTGCCGCTACGAGTAAATTGATTTTGGATTTAGGGTTTTGGATTTCATGTGTTAGTCTCTCCATCGATCGCGACCTGAGTTTTTAAAGCGTCTTACCGGGATTTCGCCATTACCGCCGCCGACGATCCCCAATATTTCGCAGGTTTTGGCTTTTGGGTTTTTTGAGGTCATCGTTGGTTTTTGTTTCCCTGTTTCCATTTCAGCTAATTTTTTTTCTTATTATTGATTGTTTTTTTTTTTTGAAAATTGAGATCATCTTTAGACGTAGTGTTGTTGCATTGAAGGTTTTCGAGAAATTCCTGTTTGAATTTTGTTTGAATTCATCGTGTACTTGTAGCTAATTTTGAACAAACAATCCTACACTATTTACATTTAAGACTCTGAAGAAAAACTCTAAAGCCAAACAACTTTTGAGTATGAACTCGGAATCTAAACTCAAAAAATCTTTGAACTTTAGAATGAGCATTGAGCTTGAGCATGAGGTGGCGGGATTTGGTGATTTGGTTACTGTTTTTGCTGTCTCCTACTTTGCAGTGCAATTGAAGTGTCGCCACTCTTTTCCATTTCCTTTGTTTAGAGTTCTGTTATGGAGGACATTGAGAATAATATTGAAGAAGATGAATTTGGGTTCTCGAGAAATTACTTTCTCGCAAAAGAATTGGGTGGAACAGGCAAGAAATCGGCTCATAAACTCTCCGATATCAATGTCGTTGATGAGCAGGTGTTTGAACATTTTCTCTCATATGATATATTGATCACCAATCAAATGCTCTCCATTACAGCTTCATGAATATGCAATTCTGTTATTCAGGAGCTTAGAGCAGCGGCATCTAACATCGAAATGAAACATGAGAAAGAGATTGCTGCGCTGATGGATGAATACAAGACTATGTACCCTAAGTGGGTCTTTGAGCTGAGGTGAGATTATTGTTGGATTTGAATAACATCTGGTTTCTTTCTTATCAAGCATTTGTTTTAGAACCTTGCAGGTCACCTATAACGAAAAATGTTAAAGAATATTTAACAAAGATTTATCACTATTTCTGTTTCTCTCTCTCTTTGTCGAGTCTATGTGAGAAAAATCAAAATTGTATGCCATTTGAAGAATGTGTTCATCCAAACTTTTGTGTGGTCTATACTATAGGTGTGGCTTTGGCCTTTTAATGTATGGATTCGGATCTAAGAAGGCTCTAATTGAGGATTTCGCATCTTCTTCTTTGACTGAGTATTCAGTCGTGGTTGTCAATGGCTACCTCCCTTCTGTAAACTTGAAACAGGTAATCAATCCTCTGTCGGATTTAACACATTTATTTCGCAATGCCAATATGGTACTTTACATTTAGAATTAGAGTGCTTGGTATGAAATGAATAACAATGGCTCCTCTTGTTTTGCATATTCAGGTTTTGACAACCTTAGCTGAACTACTATCTGATCAGTTGAAATCTAGAAGAAAGAGTTCTTCTGCGAGCTCGTGTAAATGTCAGGAAACGTTTTCTTCTCGTTCAATAGACGGTCTTCTCTCTTTTCTACATGGCCCTCAGTCAGACGACAAAGACTGCTTTGTATGTGTTGTCATTCATAACATTGATGGACCTTCTCTAAGAGACTCCGAATCACAGCAAACCCTAGCCCGTCTTGCTTCCTGTTCACATATACGCATCATTGCCTCCATTGACCATGTTAACTCACCATTACGTAAGCATTATACTTTTAGTTCGTGCCGCTTGATTTCTCGTTCTCACTGTTATCTTTACATGACATTGAAGATACTTTATACCGAGTTTCTTGGACATTATATGGAATATTGTGTCTGAACAATGAACATTGGCAGTATGGGACAAGAAAATGGTTCACACACAGTTCAACTGGTTGTGGCACCATGTTCCGACATTTTCACCATACAAGATCGAAGGAATCTTTTTCCCGCTGATTCTTTCACAAGGAAGCTCGGCCCAGACCGCCAAAACAGCCGCCATAGTCTTGCAGAGTTTGACACCCAATGCCCAGAATGTCTTCAAGATCCTTGCAGAGTATCAGCTCTCACACCCAGACGAAGATGGTGAGTAGCTAATAAAGTTTCAAGTGGCTAATCACATTGTAAAACGATTAAAGTTAGCCGATTTTGGTATAAAAACCTTGAAAGAGAGTCTAAAAAAGTTTTCAAGTGGTGATCTCTCTCTGTTTTTCGGTACAGGGGATGATATTAACCCTTTTAACGGTAACGTTTTCCCATGGATTTTGGCAGGCATGGCGACGGAAAATCTTTACACGATGGCGCGGGAACGATTCTTTGTGAGCAGCCAAGTGACACTGAATTCACACTTGACGGAGTTCAAAGACCATGAACTGATCAAGATTAGACGGAACTCTGATGGACAAGACTGTCTCTGTATTCCTCTTGCCCCCGAAGCTCTTCAACAGCTCTTGCTTGATCTCAGTCAATAGCTCTATCCAAATGTGAAATCTCTATTTTTTTTTTCTCATTGAAATTTTTTGCTTTCACTTATCATTATGATTTAATTCCGATTAGGTTCTCTTCTGATCTCAATTAGTATTGTAAATTATGTTTAAACAGACATCTTTAGTTGTGTTTATTCACATGTATAGTCATTACCTCTTTTCATATATTAACATCGGTTGAAGTAATGCATCAAATTTTCCAATCTGATAATTATGTATGTAATTAATAATATAGAACTGTCAGACTCAAATTGTTTTTTCTAATTTGCAAGAGAACTAAATCAACACAGTGGCTGTAGTTTAGTGGTTAGAATTCCACGTTGTGGCCGTGGAGACCTGGGCTCGAATCCCAGCAGCCACAGTTTCCTGTTATTTTATATATATATATGTAATTATGAATATAAAATAAAACCATTGTTTTTTTTAACATATTCCGAGACAGAAGCATCAGGCGAGACGAGCAAAAATAGAGCATTCCTATTCGTTAACTTACATCACAAGGCAACAAAAATCACATGAAAATGATTATCTATCTCTGTTAAAAAAAACACAAACAACAATCAGAGAGAATCATAACCCTAAAACCATTCTAGCAACCAGAAGAAACCCTTTATCCATTCCTCTTCCCTTTTCACGTCAACATAAGATCGTTTCCACTGAGGTGAGGCCGGAGACACACTAATACCTCGTGTTCTTCAGGCCCAGCACTCAGTTTCGGCACCAGAATCTCGAGAACCGATCCCGGCCCATCGTAATACGCTTCGATGTTTGCATCTTCCGGGATTCGGGTCAATAACGGGATTTCTCTGACGAATTCCCCGGGCGGGCAATGCTCGGAAGCCGGATCTGTCAGCTTGAATGTTCTGTCTCGTCTCTTGATGAAAGGCATTCGCGAAGTGCTGACACAAGAGACTTTGATTATACCGTGAGTTAGTGTGTTCCTCCATGAGACCTTAACGCTGTTTAGATCCACAAAGGCTAGGCTTATAATGATCAAATACCCTTCTTCGTCTTCGTAGATCGTTTTCGCGGCAGTAACTGGTCCGTACACGTTTTTCATGGCCCCGCTAAACTCGTTTGACCAACTTGGCATCTCGTTCAGGTGAGCTTCAGTATCGGATGGAGGGTTCACTGTTAAGCAGTAGTCATCTTCATGATTGGTGCCATTAGAGAACAAGTCCTTTCTCCTTTTGTGGCCGACGGGAGATAGATCGTTTACTTCTCCGTTTGTATGGTTTGATGGCTGAGTCGAGAGATTGAGCCCCGACCCATTAAGAGATTTCTTTGAGTGGCTTGTAGAAGGATTCTTCAGAGAAGGAGGATGCCTCTCGAGCTCAAAGTCTGTATTCGGGAGGTTTCTCCACGAACTGAAGTCGCTAGCTTCGGGTGGAATAGAGAAATTCAGATCCCGACCCGTTAGCTCCGTCCACCTCTTCTTCTCTTCCTCGTCGAGACATGTGAGGTTTGGCGAAGGAACAAGCTCGATCCCATGAACACACTGTGGATTAGACAATCCTCTGTAATGCTTTCTCTGCATCCTATGAGATCTTACAAATCCCTTTTCGACGCTGAATGGAAACGGACGTTCCCCCTGGCGAGAATGCCCGTTCATGTAGCTCCTGAGTTGCATCTTCCCGAGGGCATTCTCGGGTCTGTCCTTGAAAACCCACATGTACATGTTCTCCATATCATGCTGGACAAGGAACACATCAAGCTTGAGATCCGACTTGTCGAAACCAGAAACTCCATTGTTGTCCCTGACGATTTTCGCCTTTGATTTCTCGTTCAAGGAAGGTTTGAAGTAGAAACTGAAGAAAAACCAGGCACCCCATATGCTATCCACCCGTTTCGCACATTTCCGGCCAACCCTAGGCACAACGCTCAGATAATTCTCGGCCTCGTAAGCTTGAGAACCTAACCCTACATCCAAAATGTCACAAGAATCCGGGTTCCATGGCTGTGGAGGAGGACTTCGCTCAGCAGAGAGTGGTAAATTGATATCGGGAGGGCCCGAAAGCACGGATTGACGATTATTCATCTCCAAATCGAGTTCCTCGTGTGAAGATGCACTCGAATCCATGGACAACAGAGTCGACGGATGATGATTCTCCATCGTTGAGGCGTCAACCCCCACAAGCAAGATAATCAGAAACTGGATCAAACCCTATCGGTGAAATTCCACGGGAAAGCAGGAAGCTACCCTAATCCTGGCTTATGATCAATCACCGCACGAGATGCGATTATCCCGTCTACAACCTTCACCCGGAAAAAGGGATAAACATGCCAATTTTTTCTGGGTTTCTGAAATACCAACACAACCCGAAAGATGACGAAGGGAAAGCACAGAACCGGAAAAACCCTAGAAAAAAAAAAGGAGATTCCTATGAGGTTTTCACTTTCAGTTTACCTTGAGGAACAAGCTCGAATGAATCAATAAGAAGAAGAAACAGGACAATAGTATCGTCGTCTTCATCAACGAACAAATCGATCATATTTTCACTTTCACACACACGAAATTCTTCTCCGTCTTCCGTGTGAACAAAGATGAACGAGCGAGAAGAGAAGCAGAACAGCACCGTCTACCTTTCTCCAGAGAGAGAGAGAGAGAGAGAGAGATGGCTTGACGGAGTAAATGCCTGCCCTGGATAGAACCGTGGAAACTGGCCGCTGTTACTTAACGGTGACGGTGGATTTTTTGTTGCAGTCTCTCTCTCTCGGGAACTTATCGAACATATCTTATGGACCAGGCTCACCTATATAAGCCCATATCATTTATATGATTATTTTCTGCACGCATTTATATAGAATAACGTGATAATAATATTACGGATCATGAATATTAATTTGTTATCCTAATCCTCAAATTCAATGATGAAGCATCTAATAAGTTACTTTTTTTTTATTTCTAAAATCATACTTGGGTTGGAATATCAAAATTTTGTAAAGAAAGTGAGATCTGAAACAAAATGTATGAGAAAAAAAAACAAAAACAGAGAATGTTTCACAATTTAAGTGTTTCCGTTCATTGATTTCAAATAAATCACGAAGGTTGAAATTTGGTGGGGGTATCTTATATATATATATATATATATACGAATAATCTTAGTAAGTAGAAAAAAGATCGATCAATCTTATATTAATTAACAGATAAAAAAACACAAAACCAATATTACCTTTTGTTTGGTGTGTTATTTTATATGTTTCATATTCATGCTTTATTAACTTCCAATTCCATTCCAAGAACTTCGAGCTTAATAACTTTCAAAATATACAACCACATCATGCATGTCACACATCAGTAGAAAGATAATTTCGATATCTATGAAACGACGTCAAGAACATGCAATTCCGATAACGGTATAGAAAGTTATGTTCAAACCAACATCATTATATCAATATGATTTTTAAAACCGAAAAACCAAATCCGAACCCACGGTGAACCGTATCTCCTTAAGGAAATTATTCCCCGCGCGGTACCTACGGTTAATGGAATATATCCTCCCAGGATAGGACGGACGTACCTCACCGGAACAGTGGTACTTCAAACTCCGGTGCCTTGTCGAACTCAAAGAACGGTTTGAATCACAAAGGATAAAGATGCTTTTCTTTCTTTTGTAGAAAGCTTTTGTGTTTTTTTTTTTGTGTTCTTGTTGTGTCTAAAACATGAAAACAATCCTCCTATTTATAGGATTGAAAAACTTGTAACATTTTAAAAAAGCCATAAATATATGTAAATTTTGTAAACAAATTGGAGAGTAACTTATAAAAATATCTTCATTCATTTAATTTAAAAAGAAAAACTCCAACACTTTTTATAGTGAGTGAAAAAGTTAACTACACATCATATCTAAAAGATAAAAAAAATAAAAATAAGCCACGAATAAAAAACAAATATGATGGTATGGTTTTTATTGGGTGAAATCCTCATATGCGAGAATCAGAATATGATACGGCATTTGATCTTTGTAACTAAGGCGAGGACAGCAGGGACATTTGTTATCTGACCCTTTTAGTCAATTGTCCGAAACCAATTAGAAAAATTATGTAACAATAAATATGATGTAAATAAAATATCGGAAACGAGTAAAAAAATAAATGAATGAAAACACAAAGTCAGACTTAGTTTGTAAGAAGTACTTTCCATTATCAATGCAGATAAAATATATAACAAAAATATTTAGTTACTAAAAGTCTTAAAAATATATATATATTCAGGATCACAAACTTAGATATAAATCTCTAAAAACCAAGTTTCGAAATAATTATGTTTTGGATGAGTTTATATTCAATATAATCCATTAGACTATTCTACGTTAAACTATTTACAATATGGCCTAAGTTATAATCTCTTCTATTATAACTGTTGACATCATTCCAATTGCCATGTAATTTCGTTATCATTGACCCTTTAGTCAATGGTCCGAAAATAATTAGGAAATTACGTAAGAATTATAATAATAACGAATGTGGACCGACAGAATGAAATTATAATTTCAAAATCACAAACCAAACTTAGCTTGTAAGAAGTATTTTCCATTAACATCCCCCTTTTCGGGCCACCTCTCGCACATAACACACAACACAACACAAAACCCGCCTTCTCAATTTCACCGCAGCACATAAAAAAATGGCCACCACCACCACCGGCGGCGGCGGCGCAACTAATTTGCCGGCAACCCTCATCCCAACTTGCGGCGGAGTAATCTCTAATTCCACCTTCACCTTCATCGGACCTCCGCTGCCGTTCCCCGCCCCTCCCCGGAGCGTCGACTTCTCTCCCCTCAAATTCGTCCTCGCCGTCTTCGCCGTTATCGCCGTCCCTATCCTCGCCTACGTTGTCTTCCTCGCCGTCACCTGTTCCTCCGGCGGACGCCGCCGCCGCAGCTCCGGAGACGTCTCCTCTCCACCTCCGCCGTCGCCTCCTGTGGTGATCATCGACGTCGAATTGCAGAGCAAACCTCAACCCAGGGAGACCGGAAGTGAGTGTTCGGTCTGCTTGACGGCGTTAAATAACGGCGAGGATGTCCGGCAACTGAGGCCGTGTAAGCACTCGTTCCATGCTTCTTGTATAGGGAGGTGGCTCGCTGATAACTCCAATTGCCCGATTTGCCGTGCCGCCGTTAACGTTAACGTTGATGGAAACCGTTACGGAGGTGGCGGTGGTAACGGAATGGTTACGGTGATTGACAGAGTCGACGATTGGCATCACGGTCTTCCTGATGCGTCAAGCTTAGTTTGATTTTTCTATCCTCTTCGTTTTTTTTTTTTTGTCATTTCCATCACATTAAATGGTGTGAAAGTTTTTATAGGATTTCCATTTTTTTTGCTGGAATTTATAAAAACAAAAAAATAAAACGTTTATAATTTTGACAGTGATAATGTGTATAGCATCAATAATTCAATATCGAAGGCAATGGCAAAACAAATATAATTATTTTTATTTAATTAATATTTGTGCTATATGTGTGTGTGTGTGTGTGTGTGTGGTTTTAAAATTTTAATTAGCTGAAAATTATATATTTCATCAGTTCAAGAGCCTAAGAGACAAGGGCGATGAGGACAAGTGTCACGAGAAAATTAAAAATAATTAGCGATGAAATGGCATGTTTATGATTCTTGAAATGTTTTATCCAATCATCTAACCAATTACGTTAATTTCGTCTATCAAAACATAAAATTAAATAATTAATTTTTAGGTAAAAAATAATTATTTATTTTTATATTTTGATCTTTTGCTCCGCAACTTCACTAAGTATTGTGGGTTGACGTGGACTTACTCACCGAAAGAGCACGACAACTATGTCCAGTATAATACCGAATATACCCCTGTTTAAAAGTACCAGCAATCTAATCCTACGGTGGGTAACACCTCTCCCATCAAATCCGACGGTTCATATTCGCCGGCTCTTCTCTCTTAAACCACCGAAATACGTAATGGGCCACGGCGGTCTCATATACAAAACTCACGATTGTAATATATATATATATATATATATATATATAATATTTGTATTTTCCTTTTTTGGTTTCTGATTTTATCAATCCAGTTTAATAACCATGATAGTTTCCGAATCTTCGATCCGACTACATCGATTTTAGATTCGGAACCAATTTTTGTATATCAACCATTTTGATTCAGAATTTACATCTCTCTACCAATGGAATCGAACCCAGGATTTTGAGGATGCCAAAATACATTGTTCTAACTGCATTTGAAATTCTTCTAATGGATCAGTTACCATGGCTCTAACATGGTATATTATTATTATTTTTACGGATATAGAAATATCTTGTTTTTACATATTTTCGAACTCTGTATTTATATATTTTCATGTTTGCTAATGAAAAATCTTAATTATAAGTGAAACTTAAGAGTTTGTGTATTCTTGTGTACAGGATCCTAGGTTTATTTTGGCACAGACATTATGGGATGTATTTATTTGCTTACCAAATAATTGCAAGAATGTACCGATTAAACTTTTAGTATTTACTACTACGTTTCATAATACATGTCATTTTAGATTTTTTGACGATTATTAAAAAAATACAAAAAAAGTCATAAATACCCCATTTCAATTACATTCTCATTAAATTTTACGTTAACATTCAACTGATCCGACATTCCAATAAGATCCTGTTCCATCATCTCCAACCGTTGATCAATCTCAACTGTCAGCCTTCGTGTCCTGATCTCAGCCGTTGATCTTAAAGTCCGGATTCAGTATTCGGACTCATCTTCAGCCTAGGAAAATGGGCCTCGGCCCAAAACTCTATGCGAATCTATTATGAGGAAAATTGGAGAGTATGACACGCGCTCCGAAGGCGCGTGGGAACGAATTAGATCTAAGAAGAGATATTCCCATGCAGAAAAGCAAAAGGAAACAAGATGGACCGGTCACGATGCTTCGGCTGTCGTACGACGACCAAAGCACCAATTTAACTAACTTTTCCTTCTTCCTTTTAGTTTTTCTTCTTAAATTAATTAACTATAATTAACCCATTTGATATTATTATATTTGTCATCATATTATAATCATTAATTAACCTCGATTCTCGATCTATATAGACTGCCTGTCTCCCAATGTTCACTAGAAAAAACTCAAAGGAAATTATTTATTTATTTATATATAGAGTCGGTTGTTTGATTACATGGTGGAAGTAGTTATGTTTGTTTGGACCAACAAGAACTTAAGCTATATATTAAGGATCCAAAGGAGTTAAAGACTTTAATCAAATAAAAATAAAATAATGAAATAGCTTTGTTAATTCTAAAATGATCGATAGTGTGTGTATATATAGCTGTGTTTCCCATTTTTCGATACACACACACATATATATATATATATATATCCCTACTATATGCATTATATTTATTGGATTGTTTTAGTGTGTAACTTAAATTTGGTCTAAGTTTGTGAAATTTTGGGGCCCAACATGGAAAGAGGAAAAAAGCTTATGAGCTAAGTAATATACATACTGTTTAAGAAAAAACACTATTTAAAGCTATAAAACAAAAAGAATCATATGTCAGTCTCGCCATATGGAACACAAACCCTAATAATTACGTACACAATAATGATTTTTTTTTATCTCACGTCCACACACACACCTATAATATATATATGGACACGCCTATATAAATACCTATAAGAGTTCATATATATATATATATCTACTTTATACCTGAGCCATCTTCATTCTC